CACACACACACACACACACACACACACACACACACACACACACACACACGGGCATGCTTCCCTTGTTTTGAATGGTGCTAACTTGGCAGCAACGGATGTGCCAGCCCGTACGGACACAACGTTAACAGATGTTAGCAAAATGGTTTTTCAAAGAAATAGATCCTGCAATTTTGTGTCCCTCACAATCCATGGCAATTTCCAAAAACCAGTCGCTTGAACAAAGTGCACTTGGCGCCTGGTAAGATGGTGATGAGGCTTGGTTTCGCCCTCGATCCATAAATAGATCCTAGCTTGCTCAGCCACCTCCCGTACCTCACGAAGTGTGAAGCTGAATCACAGGTTGCAGCCGTCTGGAGTACCCTGTTCACATGCTTCGTAATACCGGCAGAATAACACCGCTCAGGGCAAAAGTATACGCAGGCGGAGGCAAGCACCAGGAGGGCAAATACATGCCAGAGGCGGCAAGCACCAGGAGGGCATCACTGAGGCTAGTTCCAGTCAGATTCACAATCTTGGACAAAAAAGAGGCAGCTAAGGGTCAAGCCACACCATACCACAGACTGTATATGCTGGAGGTGGTGGCAAGCGCCAGGAGGGCATCACTGAGGCTGCACTGCTGCAGTAGTTCCATTCAGACTCACAATCTTTAGAGAAAAACTGGCAGCTGAGGGTCAAGCCACATCATACCACAGACTGCCAATAAATCTATTGCGGATAGCCCGAGCAAAATTCGCGAGGGCAACGACTTCACACTGAGACTCGTTTCCGTTAGACAAAGTCTGACAGGTAAGGCTCAAGCCACACCAGAGCACAGACTTCTAGCACGTGACTTGATCCAGGCCATCAACTGTGGACTGCCAGATCGAAGTTCATCGAAACGATGACTTCATACAGAGACTACCGTAGTTCCAGTCAGGCTTGCAATCATGGAGAAAATTTGGCAATTAAGGGTCAAGACACACCGTACCACAAGCTGCCAGCAATGAATTGAACCAGAACAATGGTTTCACTCTGCGATTCATTCCTGTCAGAGATACAACTATAATGTATTCGGAGGAAAAAGGTACGCCTCTTTTTTTTTTTTTTTTTTTTCTAACATCCACCCGAGTGGGTGCTAGGGGCACTGATAAGAGCAGACGCTACTAGCACTGCCCGGGAGGCTCCATCTATTGGTGGGAAGCATCACCTGCTGGAAATCGGGTCCTGGACCAACGTCCCTGAACATTGAGAATGTTTGAGCGATCAGATATGCAGTTGGGATAATCATGCTTTATCTTCTGGACCTTTGCAGATGCTAACTAGTCCTCTTCACCTTTCATCAGGGAGCCAAATACCTTCTGTCTATTACTGGTATTATGTCATAAGCAAAGATGATTTTGGATTCAGCAGCTGTGAAGAAAATACGCATTCAGTCGTTTGGAACAGAGGGATAGAGAGAGGCTACTTCCGTCAATAGGATGAGCAAAATCGGAATCTTCCACTAGAATATGGAAATATACACTGCTTTCCGGCCATGTGGGCAGAGAGATAGAGAGAGGCTACTTCCATGGATAGGATTTCCATGTTCTAGCGGAAGATCCATTCGATATTACTAATTTCCTATAGTCATTCCCATTAACAAGCCATGATTTATTTTAGGAAATGTACCTTTCCATGTCCTAGCGGAAGATTCATTCGATATTGCTCATTTCCTACAGTCGTTCACCTTAAGAAGCCATGATTTATTTTAGGAAATGTACAATGCACCGGCCACTACAGGAGCACCCATATGGTGGTTGAAGGAACCGGGCGTCTCCATCTGAACGGTGGGACTGGTTTATGTGTCAAATGTGCGCGTGGCAATACCCCCACCATCCTGGCTGCGCCCCCATGCCCTGTGTGGTATCAGTCCATAGATAGCAAGATTGATCCGCTTTTCTGTATGTCTGGATAAAATACGTCCAGATTCAGGCCCTCGATCCAAACCTCCTTGCAGGATCAGAGTGACAAAACACGCATGATTGCCAATAACAAGGTTGAAGATAGGAACAGCCCAGAAAAAACAAAAATAGAACGGAATAAAATACGTCCGGATTCAGTCGAGGGGAGAGACTGGTTGGGAACATACTGTCAGTCAGAGCATGCAAAGGGGAAAGCAAGATACAGCCTTTGTGATCCCACTGCGTTGCCCGCGCAATCTATGGAGCATTCAATCCTACCGGAAAACGGAGTTACGGGAAGTGAAAAAGGGATAATTTTTGGAATGCCCCTCCGACTTCAATTTATTTGCGGCATGCCCCTCTGACAGCCGACTCCCAGGCCAGTGGCCACTACCAGCCACAGGGGCATGCTGAAAAGTTGCACCCGTCACTGACAGGGGCCTGCAGGACCAGTTCAGAGGCGAAAAAAGGAATAATTTTTGGAATGCCCCTCCGACTTCAATTTATTTGCGGCATGCCCCTCTGACGGCCGACTCCCAGGCCAGTCGCCACTACCAGCCACAGGGGCATGCTGAAAAGTTGCACCCATCACTGACAGGGGCCTGCAGGACCAGTTTAGAGGCCCCAGGGGCACGGCAGGGTAAGGGCCTCGCCACACCACTCTTGAAAACTCTTTTTCAAGAGTTGATGCATAGGGGCTCTTGGCACAACGCGGGCACCGTTCGCGGTAGCGCTAACGCGCTACTCCTTGCGGTAGTCACCACGGTACCTATGTGCGTCATGTTCGGCATTACCGAGGTAACCGTGGTGCCTCTCAACCCCGTAGCTAGGCTATGGAGGTTAGGGCTGGGTCACTGTCCTCACATCGAGGGACAACGGCTCTAGGAGCCGGCTTGATCCTTGCCCATGAGAGGCCCGGTACAGTTGGTGGAAGGTAATTCCCAGCCTCTTAGAGGAAACGTGCTCCAAAGTGAAAGCAAACAACGACGGCGATAGAAGGGCAAAGAAGAAGACCTCGAGTAACAAGATTCAGTGGGATGAAGTCAAGGGTATAATGCTTCCGCCTATACCCCTCTCTCCCAGTGTGTGTTGTACGAAGAGGTAAAATTGAGTCTGACTATCTATTTATAGAGGCCTCGGCTAACATATTCGGTAATCTCACGTAAGTGAGAGTGGTTATCCTGTGTTGCCGTCACGATGGCAACTCACAAGAGGGTGTACACGCGAGAGGAAAAGGAACAACTACATGCACTGTTTGAAGCTTGTTATAGAGACGGAATTTTGCCTTCAGGATTGGATATAGGGATTGCGGAATTAGGGGAGGATTTCGCACGGTTTGATTTGAATGAAAACTTTTCAGAATTAAATCTGACTTGGCTGAGGGAACATGTGATTACGATCCTCTTCCAGGAAAGAACAACATCCCTCTCGAATGATATTAAGAAGAAATTGATCAGAATTTACGAGGACTCTTGGTATGATGCGGGCCTGATTTCGGATTCGGTCAAACGTGGCCGGTATCAGAATGAAGGCAAGAACCTTGCCTCTTTTGTCTTGTCACAGTCCACGGTCATTGAATGGTTGAAGAGAAAGAAAGAAGATTTCGTCGACCTCGGCAACAAAACCTATAAGCTCAGTTTTCTGTTGTGGATGACTTTAGCAAAAATGAAGGAGTATAAGGAGGCTGAGTTGAAAATCTGTTGGGTTAG